TAGGGATCCAAACTTACCTTTCGAAAAGGTCAGCCATAAAAACGGTTCCCGAAAATTTTAGGTGACCTTTTTTTAGGCTAAAAATCCGTAAAAAATGGGCAATTATACCATTTTTTAAATGTTCGAAAAATGCAGGCAAGCAAGAAAGTTTACAACAAATGTTCCGAAAACTCTAGATCTCAAATCGTCTTCTGAACAGATATTTTCCGAGAAGTTGGGTGCCTCTGAATTGGCTAATTACAAGGTTACTGACAGCCTTTTAGCGGTGTCACCTTCAAATTTGCTAGCAAAATATGATAATTAGATACGGCAGTAATTTTTACAACGCAGAGAAATGTAAAATGAAATACCAGGGTAGGCACACAAATGGTTGGTAAATAAGAGACGTTAGTTCAATATCGTATAAAGCTACTTTCTTTAGTAACGATTACTAAAAAAGCGGGTCAAAGATAGCTTTGAGAGTTGAGAAATCTAAAGTAGAGATGTGAACAAAGAAGCGACCAACGTTACTTTGGAGTCGAAATATGAAGTATTTGATAGTTATGTTGTTAGACGTATTAGTTACTGCAGCATATGTGTACATTTTTAAAAGCATATGCACACACTTATTGCACGATTGATTCATGACAACTCTGTTGGGTACTTTAATCTAAGCCGCGGTTTCCTTAGCATCAAGAAACGATATAGCATAAATGTACGTATATACGTAACTTTTAGACAGACGTATAAAATCAGTTATTAAAAAATACTGAAATCAGTGAAAGAAAAAGGTTACATGTTGTTCAATGGTATTCTACATAATGTCGTGCGGTGCCGTGTACTCATTACATATTCTGTTTGGAGTGTATAACTACTGAAACATTGCGAAAACCCCTGAAGTGTATGTGTACAAAGTCAACAGGTAGCGTAATATATAAATGTTTGCACATTTTCGAGGATTGAAAATAGCTGCAAAAAAAGGCGGTGTTAACGTTTTCGTTTCGTTTTTGTTTTTCGTTCCCTATTGAAGCACTACTCAATTTATAAACTGTCTTAGTGAGTAATTTTGCAGCGTCTACAAGGAAGTTTGGGCGAATTTCAGTTTTCAGGACTAGTTCGTAATTAATGATTCTTTTTGTATTGATATTTTGCCCAAAGGGAGACTTCTGGAAAATTCAGGAGGGGATTTGCAAAAAAAGCTTCGGGTGACACCCGCCCCTTCTTTCAGACCAGAAGATATGATTTCTCTCTTAACGACTTCAGGCGGCCAGAAGCAAAATTCCATAACCTATTTCAGATCAGATTGCTGCAGCTTATATGCCCTGATAAATGATCCAATCTACCCAGGAAACGCTTTCGTCCGCGTTTTCATCCAAGCGGGTCCCTACTGTTACTCGAACTATGATCCTTTAATATGTTTTTACTACGTATGAGGTGAACAACGATATAACAAAAGTTGCGCCCGATTTTACACCCCTTATTTCTAGGCCAAAAAGTACAAACTAGAACTATATCTCAGACAACAACGGTAAAAATATGTACCCCAGCTGCACACCCAAATTGGCTAAAACACCATACCATTTGAAGACTTCCAAACCGATTACAACCCCTCGCCCCCCAGAGAAAGGCTCAACGTCTGTTTTTAATTTCCTTTCTCTTTCAAGTCAAGATAAAGGCGTTTCAATTTATAAGCAATTTTCCCTTTATTAATTTAGGAACAAAATGACACGCTTTTTAATTACCACGTTCATTCTATTTATTTTTTTGGACAATTTACCGTATTTATTCGATTAACCGCCCTGGGCGCTTATTAAATTTTTGGACCTTGAGAGTGGGCGCTTATTCGAGGTGGGCGCTTATTCGAGGCTGGGCGCTTATTAAATTTCACCATTTTCAGCAAGTGTAGTATGTTCATTTTGCAACAATACAATAAATGGTAATAATAAATCTCGAAGATGTTTGGGTGGGAGGGACCAGAAAGGGAGTGGGGTGGGGGTGGGCGCTTATTTGAGTTTGAGTTTGAGGGGTGGGAGGCGGGGGGGGGGTGGGCGCTAATTCGAGGCTGGGCGCTTATTCAATTTTTCTGCCTTCAGGATGGGCGCTTATTCGAGGTGGGCGCTAATTCGAGGTTGGGCGCTTATTCGAATAGATACGGTAATTCAACTTAGGAAATATTAGCAAAGCTGCATATTGCTTCAAATCAAAATATCCGGCGGGCAATTAAAACACTTTAAACACTACATCCTCATATGCCAAAATGCCAAAATTGCTGTTGATTAAAAACAGTAAGGAGGTTTTATATGAGATCTACACGACTTCTTGCAAAGATTGCCAAGCTTCATGGTCGAGTCATTTTTACACAACTGGGAACGTAAGCAACCACAGCGACAACGGCAGCGAAAACGTCACTCAAAATTAAAGTGAATTCCCGTTGTTTTAAATATCAACGAAAGTATTCAGATTATTCCATAGGCTCGTGCAGTTTGTCAAATGTTGGCGAATTTTCCAGGATTTGAATTTTTAATGACCATGCATTTCCAAGTTCAAATGTACGTCGTCCATGAAATTAAAAATTTTATATTATAAACTCGTATAAACGTTTACAACTTTGGTACCAGAATAGATTTAATCAATAGTGTTAAGTTTTTGCACCCTCTTTTCATAAAAGCATGTTTCCAAAAATAAAAACTGAAAAAAAAGCGGAAAGACAAAAAAAAAAAAAAAAAAAAAAAAAACTACAGTAGTTTGCAAAAGAAAGATGTTTAGCAGTTCTTGACAGTTCATCACTGAGAAAGAAAACAAATTAGGGGAACATGCAACTGGAATTGAAACATTTAGAGATAAAGGACAATTAAAGATATAAAACTGGGGTCCGAGTTTGAGTTAGGTATCCTAAGGGTTGAAAATATAGACAATAATAACATAACAGCAAAGAGAAAAGCGACTGAGGTTGAGGTTTCATTCTAAGGCTTGAGCTAACAAATGAATGCTTTCAGCTGTATCGAATGTTATAAATGTGTATGTTCGTTTAGATGATTTTTTAAAATGTTTTATTATACAAGGCCAAGGACAAGTTAGACACAGGCCTTGCGTTATTAAAAAACAGCTGGGGACTTCGCTGGCAAGAAGGGGGTCCGTTTGAAAAGAACAACATCTAACTTGGCATCAGATTAGCTTAACTAAAAAAAAAAAATACTATCCTTTTCAAACTCTACTGACGTTATTTAATTTTGGAGACAAAATTGGACTATTTTAAAGAGGACAAGGCAACTGTGGTTGATATCGATGCAACTATCAATGAAGTCAACACATGCACAGTTATGGGTGATATACCCGAGATATAGGGCTGTGCGCACGCGTGAGGTACTGAACATGCCTTGGGTTGGTGTATGTGTGCCCCTTTCTTTAGGTTTGTGTTGACACGAGGCTGATCAACGAGAACGCTGACGTACCGGAAGTCAGTAATAACAACCGGAAGTTCGGTGTCCCGTTTGATGGAACGTTTCTGTCTCAGACAAAGACTCTGAATCAATGTTTTTGTTTTGCATGGCGGTTTTTCGAGCCGGGTGCATTCGCGCGCGAAGCGCGCGAGAGAACGAGCGGCAAAGGCTCCGCTCCAATCTCCTCGCGGTTTCTCTGCCCTCGCCCGCCTTTTTGAATTTGTTCGGTCAGAAAACCGAATGAGAGAATGTTTTTCAACTACCGCGGTTGGAATTTTCAGGGCTGAAAGAGAGAACGTCAACTTCCGGTTGGCATTTTTGGCCTACGTCAACGTTTACTGCATGCTACTGCTTCTGCTTTTGCATATAGCCTTTTCGGGAGAAAATCACATGCATATGGCTCACCGCGCTGTAAATGCCCAAATCGAGTCAATGTCTTCTTTCAATTTACGAGATAAGCAATCCGGCCGTCATGGCTTGCGGCCTTTTGCGACTGCTTCATTTTCACGAGTACGCTTGTTTTGGGGCAACTCCGAGCCCCCCAGCTACGAAAGATGTTTAACTCTTTAGTGACTAGGAACTTGACGTGGCTTGACTTGTTAGAAAATTTACAAGTTGAATTGAGTTAAAGCTTGAGAAAACAGCCGACACATAGCTCACCTCACGTCTCACAGGAAAAAACGGGCACAAAAACAAAGACACATCACTGACATCATGGTTCACTAATTCCCGGGACTAATTATACATTATCGAACGCGCATGTGAGAGATAAAAAGTTAATTGTGCTAGTACCTAACAAGTTGAAGAGGTCATCGAAGCGGCACTGATAACTATAAAGTAATAGTTTTACCGCATCCGCGAGCAAAGTCTATCATCATAATCTGTTCCTGTTATTTCGAACTTAGCTTTGCCTCGATAAAATTCCTTTTTAAAACGCTCTCAGATCGAAGCTCATCGTTACTCTTCCTAGCATCCTCGTTATTTTCTTCATTTTGCAAACAGAAAATTAATAGAGAGACGGGCAGTCTAGTCACACCCTCCAAACAAACTCAGAAGGCGACAGCCAGAAATATAAAGGACTCGAAATAATTTTCAGCTAAAAAAATTGATTTAATTTCATTATGTGATAAAGAACACTTAATAAATGGCTAGCTATGAATCTTGCTAGTGCACCTGAAAATCAATTGAGGAAACTTAAGACGTGATCCCTTTTCACAAACAGATGAGGCTATCAAAAATAACTAACTTGTTCGATGAGGTAAAGAAATTAACAATCGAATGCACAAATCGGTCTGCATTTTACAGTATCAATTAAAATTCTTTTCTTGTAGAGAATTCAATTAACACAGATTAATTTTACAAAAAAAGGCAATATAACGAGGCTAAGGAAATTTAATTAAGTGACATATCTGTCAAGTTCTTCACTGAAAAAAAATTAAATGTTCACTAAAAGAATATTCAAAGTTCCATACTCATTCAGGCTTCTGCGGCTTCGACATGACCAACTTGATCAGTTCCTCGTAGTTAATAATACTGTTCTTTGGATCTTCCACCGGAGCGAGGAGGTCGTTGGCTTCCTCTTCAGTGAGCTTGCTGTCTCCTCGGAAACAGAGCATTCCTCTCAGGGAAGCTCCATCTATGGTACCCTGAACCGTCCCGATCGTAACATTTGAATCCCTCAATAAAGTCTTCTCTGACGGGTTCTGGCTTATTGCGGAACTGATTGTAGATTCCCAGGAACTGTTCGAACTCGACTCTTTTGCCTTGATGCTCGTCTGTCACGGGTTTCAGATCAGCGCCCACTGGGTTCAACCCCATAGAACGAAGTAAATCTGGAATCTGGTCCCCGTCGATTTTGCCATCTCCCACACGATCAAACAGGGTGTAGGCATCTTTCATTTCGGTCATCATGTCTTCGTCAATTTTCGCCATTGTCTTTGATTCTTAAATCACCCTACGAGACTTAAGTCAAACGCTCCAATTCGCGATTCTTGGGCTCAAAGAGTTCGACCGAAATGATACAGCAGTAACTTTCAACAGTTTATAAACCCGGCCACTGTGTTCTAATTCACTCTGATAATCTTGTTTTGATGCTTGTGGAAATGTTGTCATTTATAACACAGCTGACCAATGAAACCCCATTACGGTTCAATTATTAGATTTGCAAAATGAAAGGAATCTCTCATATCTGAACACATGGTGCAATTACATCATGGTCCTTGATAAAGGAATCACACCGGGAGAAAAACTGTGTCAATTATGACAAACTGTTTTTCTACTGTGGCTCTTTCACAAAGTAATTTGGAGATACCATAAGAAACGCACAAGTTTAATAAACAGAAATGCGCGTTTTCTCTTCAGATAGATGAATTTTAAAAACTCTGTGCTAAACGATCATATAGCGTGACGGAAATTAAATTTTTAATTTAAGGTTGCGTTTGGAAAAGTTCTGTTTCGTCGCTTTCAATAGTACAAATAACATATCGCAAAAAAAAGTTAACCTCACTGTTTTGTCTCGTAAAAGTGTTGTAACTCTAAGAAAAAAGGCTTTTGAAAACGTTGTTATCAAGTAAAAACCAACGACATCTATTTGAGCTCGGAAGCTCTGTTCAATACACAATTAAAAGCATGTTTAAAGATAAGGGAGACCCCTACTGGAATTAATATTTGTGGAATGCGAGCGCTCTTAGACTTCTTAGCGCAGTGTCATTAACGAGCACAAGACTAAAAGGCTACGATGTTTAAAATAAAACACTGCTTACAGTTTCCGTTTCGATTCAAAATATATAGCACTTGTTTTGATATATAATTCATCCTTTAGTTGATATCTGTTGCAAAGCGCAAAAGATCTGTTTCGACAATGTAAAATTTAAACCGATAAGAGTCGCTTAACTCGTGCTGAAACATGACAGAAAAGCAGCTAAAAGCAGAGAGTAAAACAAGTGAATCTGATTTACATACAAACAGGGAAGTTATACAAACTTTGTTTGTGTACATGAATTTTTTGCATACTCAAACTCTTTTGAAACCTCTTATTCAAGTTTGGGTTACCTGTGGTTACTGATAGTGCTCTGGTGAGCCTGTGTCTATTGGCCCGAAAACACGTGCTTCCATCTGTCGATTCAACAAACGTTACAAATAAAACTTAAGTTAGTATGAGAAGCCTTGGTAAACCCACCTTCCAAATAAATGAATCCTTTGCGGTAGACTGAAAACAAGATGGTCCTTTAACACTGTAAAAAGCCGGCGAACACATTACATGGCGGCATAGAACTGACTGTGTGACGAACATGGATGTAGTATATATAGAATAGTAGTAAAAGCGATAGGTTTAAGGCCCGTACAAATGGACGCAATATCGTTTGCTAACAATTCCCAATGTTAAATGCGGCATCCTTTTCCACACTCTGTTGCATGTTCTTGGAAGTTGTTGCTGAAGGTTTGAAACCGGTCAAACTTTTAGCGTGCAAACAGACGCAACAATTCCCAAAAGTGTTGGGAGTTGTTGGCCAACAATGTTGCGTCGGTTTTCACGGGGCTTCGATTGGCAAAACAATAACTCTGCGTGTGCATCACGCTTTTGTACATTTCTTTGCTGTCACTGCACGATCGACTACCACATAAAAATGTTTAAGGGGTCGACCATTTGACTTTTGAGGGAGGGGCTGGGGGGGTATGAGTGATTTGGATTGTGTGATAGAATTACACCAGTAATATGTTGATTTAGTTTTTTTCCCTGACATATAAGATTTTTTTCCCAACATTGTTCACCATTAAAGATATATTTTTTTCAGTGTAGGAATTTTCTTTTTTCGCCAGGTATATTTCCTAGCAAGAATTGTTTTCCCCGAATTTAGTCTGTAGGATTTTTTTCCTGAAATCACCGATACCTCCCCCCCAACCTCAAAATGTAAATGGTCAGCCCCTTATTTCACGTTTTGTGGAGGATGTGAATACAAGCTAAGAAAACGATCGACTGTCTTTTTTCTTTTCCTTGATTTCGATACAGTCTTTTATAGCCTGCGAGCAAGCTCTCCTATTTGGGCGAGCGAAGCGAGTCTCGCGAGAACGCGCGAGCGAGCGGCGAAGCCGCGAGGGGCAGAGGCTCACGCAGAGGCTCGCGCGTTCTCGTGAGGCTCCCTTTGCTCGCCCAAATTGGAGAGCTTGCTCGCAAGCTAAGTCTTTTAGAGTTCAACTCCAGAAAAAATTGCCAACAGTTCACGAACTGAACGAGATGGAATAAGGGCGTTAAAGTTTGAAGCAGCACTTCAAAAAGTGACGTTTATGTAGCCGTCGCCTTCGTTGCTGCTTAATCTCCCTTACTTTCCTTCAAACGACCAGAAATGAGTATTCTTTCTACTGATGTAATTAGCCGCGTGTCTTAACTGAAGATTCATGCATGGTCCATTCCGCACTAGGTTTTATCAGTCTACTTTCCAAATTTTGTGGAATTGCACGCATTTTAGGCATCCTACTGATGAACAGTTGCGACACGTAGATATATATTTTTTAGCAACTAATATAATTTGCAGTCTGTCTACCTTGAATGGTTTAATGATTGAGGACGTCTTTTAAATTCCTGCCAAATGTTTTTAAGCTTTCAAATCTTTAAATTCTCCATTGTCCTACCTCAGACATTCGTTGACAGTTTTTTCTTTTTAAGTGACAGATTTGCGGGAAAATGCTCATTTTTGTAAAAAGTGAGTATGGGGTTGAGCGGAGAGATATTTACTCAATTCTACGCTTAAATTGTCGTGCTAAGGTCGTGAAAATAGCTGTTCTCGGTAATGGTAAATTTTGTCAAGATGTTAGTGGAAACAAAAATTTTGCCATATATCTTTAGCGAGAAGGCCCCGAAAGATCGGCTGAGTTGTTAACAAAGAATGTTAATATGATTGCGCGCGCCCAAACTGTTCGAATTTAGGGCGCAATTTAGGATTGATTATGACGTATACAATAGTTTCTAGGTTACATACATTATACCTCAACGATAAGGAAACAACAAAACGCGTTGTTATAAAAAACTGAAAATGACATCGACAGTCTCTCGAAAAACAGAAAAAGAACAACTTTTCTTGAAATTAGAATCGATCTTGGATCTTTACAAGAATTTCCAAGATGGCGCCGAGGAGGAAGACAATCTTCTAATACTGGAAGCTTTGGAGGACATTCGGCAAATTTTAAACCGACACAACATCACCAGACCTTTAGGAAGAACCGAGGTCAAAGAAATTGAATCGGTTTTGAAAGATCTGAAGAGCCATGTGAAGGCAATGGCTCTAGATGATCTGTTTGATCAGGTGAAGGATTTAAAGTGGAGGATGGATGTGATAGAGAAAAGATGGGAGTTGGGGAATACGCTGGGCCTTCCAAAAAACTATTTGTACGATAGAGGTGAGAGGAAATTTGTTTTAGATCGGTCGCACTGAAGAAATCGGCCTTTTGTTATTCACAGAGCGATACTACTAACGGGCAAGCATCTTATCTTTCTTGCTCACTGTATGATAATAATTCAACTCTAAAAAAAAAACGAAAACTCGTACAACCCAATACCATGGTATCTTTTTTTATCGTCATCATCATTATTATCATCATCATCATCATCATCATCATCATCGCCATTATTATCATCGTCATCATCATCGTCATCGTCATCATCATCGTCAGCGTCATCGTCATCATCGTCATCGTCATCATCATAGCAATTGTCATCGTCATCGTCATCATCATCATCATCATCATCATTATCATCATCGTCATCATCATCATCGTCATCATCATCGTCATCGTCATCGTCATTATCATAGCCATCGTCATCGTCATCGATATAGTCATCGTCATCATCATCATGATTATTTTTATCATCATTATCTGAGATTTTCACGGTGACAAATTAAGGCCTGAAGCCCTACAGTGACGGCCAGCTACTTGCTAGATAGGCCTCTGTCGGGTACAAGTGCATGATCACAGGGACTGGTCCTTGGAGTTGTTCATCTGCCGTGTCTCGGTAAAGTTTGCCCCAAACACTTTCTAATCTTCGATGAAAGGCAGGGAACGACAAAAATGCTCTCTTATTTTACTATGGCTGTTTTTATTTTCAATTCTTCGCCGTCTTTGAGCAAGAAAAATAGCAGAACTCTAGATTTAATTGCTCTTACTTTCTTCTTAAGGACAGTGCACAGATTGCTTTAACTGGTCGGCTGCACACAGTAATGATGTAATTTTGGTTAAGCGGACCATGATATTTGGAGAATGCTCCAGGGATCATGATTATCTTGTTTCTACCCTAAAGGTTGCTGCTACACGGAACGCAGCACCATTAAAACAAAACGGTAACCATCACCACCATCCTAATAGAAGTTAGTTGTCTTTTTTGTTTTACTTACAGATGATGACGAAATATGGAGCAGAATAAGCGCTAAAAGAAAAGAAATTCTCGGTAAATCAAGCTTTTGGTTACGTTCTAGACCTCCACGACACATGTACAAAGTGAGGTTTGATTTGGGCGCGCCCAACCCGGTTCGAGCCGGCATGGGTGAGGAAAATGAGGTCGAAAACATGGAAGATATTCCCGAAGATGAGGGTAATATTTACGACTCAAACTCAACTGATCAACTTCTTCTTAACAGAATTAACAATCTTCAAAGTTTTCTTAGCGAGCGGAAAACACGTTTACGGACTGCTAGGGGAAGATCAAAGCTCAGCTCAGGTCTTATTGCTTCTGCGGATTTAACTATTCAAAACAGTAGGAAGTGTTTACAAAAGGCCAAAGATGCACGCTACGGAGAAATCAAGGGTACGATTCAAAGGGTAAAGGACTCGGTTCCAAAGGAGAAAACGAGTCAGGGGGAATCGGGCAGCCGTTGTGAAGAGTGTTATAGGATCATGAAAGAGAGAGATAAATTTTGGGGATTGGAATCTGACTCGGAAGAAGAGGAATTTAAAAAGTTTAATGATCACCCTCCACGGCGCGGCATGACACAGAATTCTAGAAGTGCTCTGGATAAGAAAAATATAGGTGGTGCTTCAGTGCTAAGGCATAAGGGTATTGCCGGTCGAGGAACTTGGGCCACGCCCGCCTATGTCCCCCCATGGGAAGTGGACAAATTTGAGAGTAAAAGACGAAGTTCTATGCATACTGTTGCAACGGACTGGGAACTGGAGAAAGCAAGGTTTGGTCCGAAGAAAGGTAAGTACGGCTTAAATTTGTATTACAGAAAAATCGCATTACTGCGCTTTTCACAAACATGCGAATTCTGAAGTTCAAAAGCCAACTGACGATTGCGTTTTTCGCTGCCATCAATCATCTTAACGGACCTTTAGGAAACAAAGCTTTACTTTAACGGGTTCAAAAGGTCATGGATTGTGATTTCTGATTGGTGGATTTCAATCCGTTTTGTGAGTTTCTGTGTTTCAAGGTTCGTTGCTTGTGATCGTAATTATGATTGACGGCAGAGAAGAACGCAATTGTGAAGGGGCTTCTGAACTTTAGAGTTCGCATGTTTGTGAAAAGCGCAGTAATCCATTTCACGAAAAAAGTTGAGGAACAAATGATATCATGAAAATGTTCTACTGAAAGGGATTTGTTTAAATGGTCACATTAGAGGATAACATCCTCGGGCTCAAGAAACACCAGTTGTACATCATAATGAAAGTCACTTTAGAAAAAGGGCTGCTTCGTGGTTTCCTTTTGAATGGTCATAAGTAATAAGCAACAGACTGATCTGCGCCTATGAACGCGGTATAGCTCAGTAGCTTTCCTTTGAATGGTCACTCTTTAGGATCTTATCCAAAGACTCAAAAGTTCAAACCACATAGAACAGCATGATGGACAGTACCTCAGGAAAGTACTCGGCGCAGTAGCTTTTTTAAAATTCTTATTTGAATAGTCACAGCTGAAGATTTCATCCTCTCATTATTTCGCAGGAATTTTGAAGAAACTGTTTCATAGTTTCACTGGATCCTATGCGTAGATTAAATCTATTTTCAAGAAGAAGAAACCGAGGATAAACATCATCGGAAAGTGATTCTTCGGTAATTTATTATGTTAGGAGGGCTTTATTATCGAGTCAATAAATTCTATTTTTATTGAAATAGCGTTTTTTTCTCTCTTCAAGTTCCATCTTTCATTTAATGAGGATTAAAATAATCTCATTGGGACTTGTTAGTTTACCAGGAAAGTGTATTATGGTCTCGTTGTTTAGAAATTCAGGCGATGCACTTTTGTTAAATTAGCCAAAACCCAGTTCTGTGATGTTTTTTTCCCCAGAAACATGTTACTAAGGGTTGATTTCCAGTGTCGCGTAATTTTTACGTGCGTAAAATTTACGTTCGCGACTAAAAGAGAGGCAATGCATGAAAGGTCGCTCGCACGCGTAAAAGTTGAACCTCGCTCAACTTCTCGTTAATCTCAGCACTTTTTATCTTGCCTCTACTTTATTACGTAATTAAAATTTATTTGCGTTAACGTGTGTAGCCAAAAACACGTCAGTTGAAATCAACCCTAAATGGAACGCGATTCTTTACATTCTAATGAAACACCGTCGACCAGATATGACCATCATTCTATCAGATGAAACACTCGTTTTTGTTTTTTGTTTTTCTCCGGGTACACCGGACTTCCACTTCCCTCAAAAACAAACATTTTCAAATTCCAGTTCCACCAGGACACAAAGAAACACTTAGCAACCTCTGAATCGTTCTTTATTTATTTTCATATATCATTTCCACTGTGTTTGGATATCCGCTGAATTAAAACACTGCATTTTTTGTTTGATTTATAAATAGAAATGTTTATTTTTTGTGGTTTAAAAACGAAGATTTGCTCATATTGGTATTTCATTCCGCTAGGCTAAAGAGCTTCCGTCCACGTGGTGCGAGCGAGGAAGAAGCCTTTTCCAGGAGTTCAGATATTGGGGAGCAGGGCGAAGCAAAAAGGGAGGCGAAAAATGAAAACGAGGCAGGGGAGAGAGAGGAGAGAGAGAGAGAGAGAGAGGGGCGGGGAGAGGGTTTTATCGCCGCTCTACCAAGTGTCCTGAATCATGTTAAGGCATGGCCTAACGCTAATTTGCATATTAAATCTTATAAAGGTGATAACTTTGTGAAAATTTAACAGAATCTTCCAAAATTTGGCAACCTCTGAAAAATCAGTAACCTTAATTTTCCTCCAACGTAAGACATCAAATATCTGTGTCACGTGACCACTCATGGTCGAGTCCAGGAAAGAAAAGAAAACTAAAAATGGGGTCCATAAATTTGGGTAAAACATTTCTTCGGATATCTCGTATACGAAATATTCCTCTGACCTGGATCTTGACGAGGGTCTTTGTACATTTACCTCCTTTCATTTCCCAGATTCTGGACTTTATCTATTTTTATTTGGATCTATTTTGAATGGCGTGATACTGAAAACCAGAAATTGTATCATCATTTGTGGCTTGACTCTGGCCGGAATAGTTGACTCACGTTTTTATTTAATTAGTAATTAAGCAAAATAGGTCACGTGACACTTTTCACCTGTTAATATCTTTTTACAAACATTTACACATAGTTCAAACTTAGTTGTAGCCAACCATTCCTACCCCATTTTGAATTTCCTTTTGAATTCATTATGACGTCACGTTTCACGTGACTACATCTCTTCAACCCTAATGAATTCAACGCCTCCCAAAAATTGAGCCATGCCTTAACATCCATGCTTTCTTTACTTCGCGCTGTTCTCCACTATCTGAACGCCTTGAAAAGGCTGGCAAAGAAGCGAAAAAGAAGAGCCTCGCATACGCCACCAAAGTGAATTGACCGAGAAGGCCGGGAAAATGCGGTACAGGGACTGGGCAAGATCATGCCTTTGTGTTGACACCCATCCCCCACAAATTTTGTTGAACCTATACCGCTTATGCAATTGATATTTTTGTCATAAGCGACATGTCTGACGTTATTCGAAAGCATTATACTGAACATGTTTAGCTGGTGTGCTTCCTTTAAAAGCATAGCAACAAAAACGCCTGAAAAGGCTTTGATGTCATCCTGGATAAACGATTAACATTTTGTACATTTTTTTAAAAAATTGTCAATGGCATAATGAGCTCTGGTACTAAGAATACGATGCAAAACGACTTAAAAACAAAAGGTCTTAATTTTCTTACGGACCCAGTTTTTCATCTGAGAGTTTTTCATAGTGAATTAATTGAAAATGAAAATAATTACATTTACCTCTAACAGGTGATTACTATTTTTTAAAGCAGCTCATTACGCCAGGGATGTGTTCATTTATGGCTTAAAGAAAAAGGCCAGTCTTCCTGCGGTTATGGGAATAATCCCTTTTTGTTCCTTTGTTTCACCATATGTCAGATCCAAACTTGTGAGAGAAGAAAAAATTGTAAGTATTTCAAACACAATTCGTTAAATTTACGCTCTTATGCATTCTTCCGAAAATTATTGAGACAAAAGAGGAAATAGTGAGGAAATAGCATATGATAACTAAAGTAATGCAGTAGATAAGTAATACAAGATATGGTACAAATAAACCATGTAGAGACCGAGGAGCGCACGAAACGGTCCCAAATACTAGATGTCCTATCATCTATAGAATTAAAAACAAACGTCAGGGCGACCATATAAGAAATTTCTACAGACCCAGGTAAGCAAAAATTTGTATGTGATCCAGAAGCCTTGTAAGGCACCCTGTTCTGTCGTGAATCGTAATACCTTTCGAAAATTGTAATATTTTTCGTAAATTGTAATAACAGTTGTCGAGAATTGTAATAACCAAGCTATCAGAAATTGTAATAACACGTTGTCGTAAATTGTAATAAGCCGAGTTGTCGTGAATTGTAAAAACACATTGCCGTATTTTGAAATAAGTCTTGAAAATGAAAAATTATGCACCAAGAACTCCTTTAGATAACCAGGATTGTTCTGTTCGACAGGAATCCACAATTCACCTCATCATGAGCTCATTGCTCAACAGGCCACTTACAGGTTCCAAAAACCGCAACTTTCATAACGAGGCCAAGAGCAAAACCTTTTCATTTCACCTGCTTTGCGTTTAGCCTTTCTTTGAAACAGAGGCTTGGGGAAACTCGGAAATGGCCTAGCCACTCAACTGTGACAGGGTGGCAAGAGTTTCTTTTTCCCATGAATTCCCATTCAATTCTATGCTAGCCGTTTACTTCTTCTGGTTGACTTTTTGAGGTAAAAGTTCAGTAATAAAGTTTACTAACTGGATATATTTTTTTCCCATGAATAAAATCAGCGTCGTGTTTACCTTCTCGAACAATGTGAATTAAACTGAATACAGCTACAGCTATTATTGCGTCGCGCAAAATACTCAAATGATACACAAGACGAACGAACACTTTGTTTTACACAAAAACTCTAACACGTCCTTGCACTCAATAGCTCTAAAAGTTCAATCCATCGAATTAATTCCAACCAAAGTCTTAGCAAAGTTTACGTTACAAAAGGTTACACTGTAATTCATCGCGTTTTCAAGTTTCTTTTTCTTTTTTTTACCCAAGGAACTTGGTGAGCACTGAGCAACATATCACAGTGGCGCCTTATTCCTGGCTATATTCTCTAGTGTTGTTTTAATTTAGTTACCGCAGAGACTGCGGAACACCGGAGCATAGCGACTTTTTCGTGTTGATTACTGATAATTCAGTTGTTTCTTTGTAAATGGACGACATCAGTGAGATAATAAATGTGTTGAAGAAATACTTTATTGCGTACTCTTTCGTGCTAGTTGATTTCTTGTTTGTCGCGACTTTCGTCATCAAAATAAAAAAAATTGACAAAAGTCGGACAAGCATTTCAAATTAGTCTAACTGAAGGCAATTGTGCGTGTGCTATTTAAGCGGTTCCAGCTGCCTCTAACCCCCAGCCCCCTCCCCACAATATTTCTAATGGCCCCTATGATGATGTGTGGTGGAAGTAACAGGCAGTTGCTCGATGTAAGTTGGTTGGCTGACTGTTTAGAATACGTTTATCAGGTGGTCGGTGAGATGATATAGTTTTTGCCATAATGCTGGCTGCATAATAGCTTATATGTTTTTGATTGACAAGAAAATTTCAGTAGATAAGCCCTTGACATTAAGAAGTCAAAATACGACAATGTGTTATTACAATTCACGACAGCTAGGCTTATTAAAAATTACGACAACGTGTTATTACAACTTACGATAGTTTGGTTATTACAATTCTCGCAACTGTTACAATTTACCACGGTTGCTATTACAATTTACGACAGGTATTACAATTCACGACAGAACACACCCGTTCATGTAATAAATAGTAAGTTAGCTAATTTACAGGATAAGACATTTATCACAGCTCTATGTGTTTAAGGAGCCCTGCTAGACGATAACATCGTCCGTCCAAATATTAATTCATTTCTTTTCTGCCCTTGTGAATGGGAGCATTTGACTAAATTTCGTTTGGCAAGTCAACTTAAAGAAAAGTTGGCTTCTGTTGTGCTTGTTAACCAAAGGTTGTCAAAGGTAAAAGTTTTTCTATTAACTAGTTCTCTGTCTAAACAGTCTAAAAAATAAGAATCGAAGAGGGCGCCATTATGGCAATAACCGTTCCGACATCCAACAAATTAAAAATAATTGCGGACAGATAGTCTGTGATGAATTCAATACGTAACGCCGGCGTTATAAGTGATAAATAGTGGCAAAGGACCTGTGACGTCATTTAAAAATGCCTGTCATCGTGATTTTTACCGAAAATACATATTTAACTGTAGAGTTTCAAAAATACTAGTCTTTGATGTCTTCATATTTTGCTTGAAAATGGCTTGATCTCACGTCACTTATGACGTCATATCATGTCGCCATAGTAACTGAACACCACACATGTCTGCCAAAATGTGTCTAACGCTGCAAATACTCTAATTCAGAATAACTTTGAAAAATGTAATGGGAGCAAAACTAATAGTCAAGTTTCAATCCATGTCTATCATTGCCATCCCATGGGCAACAAAAGTCTAACAAATACTCTAATTCAGAATTACTTTGAAAAATGTAATGGGAGCAAAACTACTAGTCAAGTTTCAATCCATGTCTATCATTGCCATCCGTGGCAACAGACTCCCGGAAACAGTATCAATGTCTAAATATATTCTTAAATAATTAAACTGGATCATTATTTTTGGACATGCGAAACTACGAGCACTGAGACTACCGTTAGAAGATTCCGAATCCTCAATTTGTTAACAGCATTTTGATTCCAATAACACAATCAATTTGTGATTACTGAAAACGATCTATATATAAATTAAAGGGAGGAACTGTACTGTAATCCCCTTTCGTCCAAAAATTCCAACTTTAAAACTACCTGAGCTTGTAAAAATTTCTCTGTGTTTGTATTTCTTTATCTAGCTCACTTGTTTGGTAGGATTGATATGCTGATTTTTGACTGAATGCTTTTTATGCCGCGTTAAGTTTTGCAAGTTTTACTTTCTGTTATACTTGCTACGTCGTGCAAATGTGAAAAATACTGAGCAAGATCAGGATTGAGATAATTTCAGGCGGTTTGCTATACTTAGCTGTAATAATATTGTGGCACACCGAAAGGGTGTAAAATAGGTAAAAGAAAATCAATTTTTATAGAAATCAGCTTTTTCGTTTGGCGGGTTGTACTCGCTTGTTATTCCAACTGCCCTATATAGTACAATTGCGATCAACAGCTACATGATTAATTTAGATCGATCCTTTCAGGCGGTTTGCTTTCCTTAGCTGTACAATAATCTATTGTGGCTCTCCGAGAGTGTTCACTCACACTAGCTATATAAAATGTGAATAGGTAAAGAAAATGAATTTTTATAGAAATCAGCTTTTTCTTTCGTCCGTTGTATTTGTTGGTGCTTTTCCGCTATCGTGCAATTGCGAACAATAGCAAGTTGAGTCAGACCATTTTAGGCGGTCTGTCTTTACTCAGTTGTATATTGATCTCCTGATATTCATATACTTTGCAGAAACACCGAAAGAGTGTACAGTTACATCAGTTATATAAAAAGAGAAAGTATATGGTGCAAGAAAATACATTTCGGTTAGTAGAAGTCAGCTTTTTTCGTTTATCAGGTTGTTCTTGTTGGGACATATCCGAGGCTTTATTGCACATTAAAAAAGTGTTCAGTCAGATAAGCTATATAAAACGAGAAAATATAGGTAAAAGAAAATCAATTTCTATAGAAATCAGCTTTTTTCGTTCACCAGGTTGACTTTTTGGGAAATTTCCGATGCTTTACTTACTTGTACACAGAAAGAGTTTTCAGTCGCATTAGCCATATATAATGAGAAAATTGAAAAAAAGAAAATTAATTTCTATAGGAAATAGCTTTTTGCGTTCATCAGATTGTACTTGTTGGGATATTTCCGCGATCGTTAACAATAACAAGACCATTTCAGGCGGCTTACTTTACTCAGACTTCAGTATGATAATCGTTGAGCGGACGCAGGAAGAGTTATTAGCAAGTTGCATTTCACCAGAACGGGAACAGAAAGTGAGTAAGAGAAATTATCAGTGTGTATTTTTTGGGGGATTCTGTGGGTTTGGGATTAAAAGGATATATATCAAGGTGCTTAAGAACGAAGGCCATTTAGCTGATGATATTAATATAGGACAGAATAAAGAGTCCAGATTCCGTTTCAGGTTCGTTACTAATAGATTATTTGACAAGAATTACAGACTATATTTAACAAAGCTTACTTTAAAATTTTGCCAGGAAATCAAAACTTTTAATACTTAAGTTTACTTATCAGAGACTCTAGATGAAAACTTTAATTATTTACGCGAAAAAAAAAGAGATTTGATACCGATCGAAACGATCAAAACTTCGGTTATGTTATACCCTTAGTTAATTTAAGTCAAAGCTCCTAAGTTGAGAGAACTCCCGTGAAATGGTTTTATTCTGTTATTTTTTGATTTGTAAAAGCAGCAATTTCATTTTCGAACTGTACTATTCTAATAGAGTTAAAAATAGAGCAACTCGTTTTTATCTTTGCCTTCCTTATCAGCAAATAACTGATCTGTTTGCAAATAAAAAATCACGATATTTTACTCAACCTCCTGCAATAATTATTCATTATCGCTTTATTATTGCATTTTCCCTAAATCATTTTATTTTCTACCAAAGAGATACAACGAAATCTATGGCAGAAAACAACAACAAGGTGCTGAAGTTACTACGCTTGTGCTGGCGATATAACGTCACAACATCCACTGGCCGACGTGTGCAGTCACTAAAGATCATCGGCGTTGCTATGATAGCAATAACCGGTCTACTCGTTTTCGTGGCTGAAGATGTCAATAATGCGAGAGATAATATCAAAAAAGCCGAAATTCTGGAGAAAAATCTCGAATCAAGTTTGCAGGTGGCTTTGTTAATTCACCGTCTTCAAATTGAGCGTGGTCTCACTGTGCTTTGTCTGGGGTCAAAGAGTGCCGAAGACAAGGATAGAGTGTTTGAAAAATTGAGTGATGCTCGTCATAACACAGATAAAGTCCTAGAGGAAACAGAGTGGCCATTTGATGAAACAGCTGAAAGGAAATTTCTCCGCGGGGCTCAAAATTTCAAAAGGCATTTGAGGGATCACAGGTAGATGAGGGCTTTTTCTTTAAACAAGGGACAGGTTTAGGGTTAAGCGCATGCTCATTTATCAAAATGCTGTTTTTCTGCTAGAACATGCTGTATCGTCTATGCAAGCAATATGATCATGTAATAATGTTGTCAAAGAACCAATCTGCACACTCCCCTGGCAGTCACTTACACTTGATCAACTTATATATTTGCAAATAGCTGTAAATTAATCACCCATGGAATAAAACCTTCAGGTCAACAATAAATTCAACGTTGGTAGTGTTGGCATAATCCACTAATTTTTTTTTCGATTTTAGTACTCCTTCATCCTACTTCAGGTTACTCTGAAATACACTTCTACTGTGAAATACACTCTGAGATCGCTGAGATACATGTGAGTGGGATTATTAACCCCGATAGGATTAATAACAAATTGAAAAAAAAGTAATTTAATTAATGAGCATGCGCTTAACCGTGAACCTGTCCTTTTAAACCCAGAGAACACAGGTAAAAAGATGACAGCCAATGTGTTTTCTATATGAATGTAAAACTATTCAGCGTGGCAATCAACTTTCAAAGTTTAGGTGTGTCCATCGTAATCTGTTCATAATTATGAATAATTACCTGCAAGATTCTTATTTGTTTGTTCTGAATCTGCCATAAATGATTTAGAAACAATTTGCCTCCAGTGCCCAGTTGTTCGAAGGCCGATAAGCGCTTATTAACCCGGGTTTCTTTTTCTTGTGTTCAAAAACATTTTCTTGGATAATTTTCTCTGTTATATTTAGAGCTTTCAATCATCAACTTGTAGACAAAAAGAATTAAAACTGAAATGCTTTTTAAGCGTTCAAATCTGAATTCAAATCTCGCACTAACCGTGGGTTATCTTAACCCAGCTTGGAACAACTGGGCCCAGGCGATAAATTTTATAGCGCGGGGAATAATATTAAGAATAGGTCTCATCTCGATTTTAGGTACGGAGTTGGGAGATGTGCACATGGCACTCAACGTCAACAGATTGAGTTTTACACCCTTCCAATCGATTTGATGTTGAACTGGTTCTACAAGAATGTTCGCGATAATCCCGGAAATGACATATTTCTGGATATGGTTGGGTACCACATGTTTCTAGTTGGAAAAGACAAAATTGGAATTGAGCGCGCCTTGGGCGGAACTTTCTTCGCAAACGGATATTTCAGCAATTCAAGCGATCTCGTATGGTTTGCAAATCACAGCATTCTTGGAAGGGAGTTTTTAGAAGCAAGTAGAACTTTTATGCCCGAGATTAAGGCAAAAATGAGCCATAATGTAAACGAAACAGTGCTGCGCTTGATCGAAAAGGAACGAGAAGTTATTCTTGCTAATCAACCCGACAACGCCTCAGTATCGAAAGGCGAACAGTGGTTTCAGCTCATGACCTTATATCTTGACGATATTTTTAAAGTTCAAAAGAATGCAGGGGACTCTTTAACTAAGCGTCTGGACGTCATACGAAAAAACAACGAAGCACATCTAACCCAAAGATTGGCATATCTCGTATTTACCATTCTTTTAGTGCCTCTTATAGCTTACTCAGTTTACAGAATGACGGGAACGATTCAAAACTGCACCTTTCAGCTTGCCCAGACAATGCTGGAGTTAAAAGAGGAGAAACAACGAGCAGACACTCTCCTTTACCAAATGTTTCCACATCCAGTGGCTGAAAAACTCAAGAACAAACAGCAAATTCCAGCCGAGTTCTTTAACAGCGTGACAATATTCTTCAGCGACATTGTCAACTTTACAGAGATGTGTTCTAACATGGCGCCAATGCAGGTCAGTATTATTTTTTACTGAATGAGTGCAAGCTCCAGTTAAATTGCACCTTTTTGACGCGTTTGAGTTTATTTTTATTAGTTATTCATTTTGAGGCGAATCAAATTAGTGGTTATGGTTTTAAGAAGGAGAGACACAGGAAGAGAAGCAGAAATACCACAGTCCTTCTTCACAGCACGACTCAGTTTTTAGATCAACAACGTACAAAAATCTTTCTTTAAATTGAATCGACTGGGACTCTGTGACACGTATTACGTGTTCTACAGACTACCATCAACGACTCAGTTTAGAAAGCTGGTTTATTACCTCAGAACAAACGCCACTGAATCTTAGTCAACAGTTACCGGCACCGTACAAACGAGCTTACTGACCGAATCAAACAAAACCAATTACGAGAGAACGACTGGACAACTGAAAATTTAACGAACAATAAACGATTGTTTAGCTGTGACATTAGACGGATCGAAACGCACCAATGGCATTACAAGTCTTCATAGCCAATACCATCACAGCTTAATTAACAGACGACCAATAACATAGCGACTTCTTTGACCAATCAGGTCAATGACCAGAGTTTAATGTCATCAACTGACGTGATACAACTCACTTTGACTCCGAAGATGACTACAGCACAGGTTGTCGAAACCGTAGTCAGTCAACAACAGTCCTATTCAGGACTAAGTTATTAATAGTTTAGCAGGACGATCATACTCAACCTACTTATCCTGAATGACTCCTGGCTTCAATCTTTCACGATCTTTCTTGTATAATCAAAATATTGTCTTTTCTCATTGGCTTAAATCTCTCCGCCACTTAATAATCACAACAAGCTATCGCTTGTATTGTAATTCATGGCTTCAATATTTTTCTTTATATTCGACCAGTAATAGCAGATTAATTGTATGAATGATAGATTTACAGGTCATAAAGATGTGGACTACTTCAATATTTTAAAAGTGCATGCAGAATTTTGAGAAAGATGCTATAGAATTCCACTAATAAAAAAAATCGAAAGTTTTGTTGAACTGTTTTTGCTTTTTGCAAAGATTCAAATCAGAGGAAAACCATACCCCCACGTTTCTTGCTATAGAGATAGGAGCGACGTCAATGACCCCTGCGACTAAAAAGGTCATTGATATTAAGCCATAGGGAACTGCTTTTTTGTGCCAAGTTAGCTAATGCGGTATTTGTTGTTTGATTTCAATGGCCGATTTTATACTACAGTCGCATTATCCGACTGGATGAACTTTGGCAAACATTTTGTAGTCCGTTATATATGCGTCTCAGGTATAAAGACGGGCATAAGGCGCATTATGCATCCAGACCAACTACCTTTCGTAATGCATCATTCAAGACGTATTACGATATAATAGTTTGTCCAGACGCATAATGCGTCTTGTGCCTGCCTTTATACTCGTGATGCATAACCAGACGACCTACAAATGTTTGCCCAAGTAATGCGACTGTAGTATAAGAACGGTCAATGTCAGCATCTACGTACGAATACCCGTAAATCATATCATAATCAAGAGAATCTTATAATCTGTCGAACGTTGTTCCTCGTGACTACTTGCAGGCCAGTCCAGTTGACCACAGAATTTTGTTTTGTTTAGGTTACAGCCATGCTCGATGAGATCTATGGTTTGTTTGACGACCGCATAAACTTTTACGACGTGTACAAAGTGGAGACAATTGGTGACGCCTACATGGTGGTATCGGGGCTTCCTCAAAGGAACGGAATGCGTCACGTGGATCAGATTGCCCGGATGGCGTTGGACTTGGTAAAAGCGGTGGATGAACTAAAATTACCCCATTTCAGCAGACGACAGCTGTCGGTCCGAATTGGTATACACACTGGTAAGTCTATGTATTTATCATGGGTTATGTAACCTTTTCTTTGGGGTGTTACATGGTATGCTGTTCTGTTGCTTCATTAGCGGTAGGCTATATATATTTGAGTTGTTCTCATTTATATTCATTCGCGTCTTACGACCGTCCCTACGCCCTCAAAATTAAATACCCAGTGATCAGGGGCTTCTCTTAGACGTAGTTTTTTGCATGCTGCTATATGAAAGGTTTAGCACGTTTTGTATGTTTACTGAATCATTGTTATACGAGCATAGTTTAGATCATTTTGTTGGGTTGTTTTTCTTGCTGTCATTTTTTACATTTCCGAGTTTTCATTCTGTTTGTTGTATTATTTCCATCCATTCTGTTGATGAAGGCATAATAAAGAGGGTCGCACACGGCTCGTGTTGACACACCCCAATTGAGGTTGCTTGTTACATGATAAATGTTCTATATTCGTTTGAGCGGGGTAGCGAATTAGAATGTAAGGCCTTTGTGTATGGGTATAATATAAAATTAAAACCAAGAATATGCAGTAAAATTGAATAACAACGTATATAGTATTTGAAAACCCAGGGAAAAAGAGAGAGCTCATTGATGAATAAAATAAGTAAAAAAGAAAAAAAAAATAGCACTCGCGCTTATTCTTTATCTCGAGCTCACATAACTAAAATAAAACTGTTTTCCCCAAAAAAAGTTTTAAAGGAGACATTAATGTAGGTTATCAGTTAGCTTAGATTAATCACTGTAATTGATAAATTTATAGTCGTAGAAGTTTTTCTTTCATCGTCAGTTATTGAAAAAATCACTTAACGGATTGTCCCTCCTCGGATTTCAATATTTGCTTCGGCGTTCTGCTTAGCCAAGTCTTGAAATTACTGGGAAGCAACACAAACTTTTCACTCGAGAATAGTTAATTTTCTGATCGTGTTTGCTATATACAGCAGGTCTTGTATACGTGTAAGAATTATTTATCAATGACATAATAGCCCAATGACTTAAAAGAAGTAGCAATAGCATAATTATATCCTTTTTAGGACCATGTGTGGCTGGTGTGGTTGGAAACAAAATGCCTCGTTACTGCCTGTTTGGAGACACAGTGAACACTGCATCAAGAATGCAAACGTCTGGCGAACGTAAGGGACATAACAACTTAGCATTTAATTTGTTATACTACTGCATGAGAAATTTCTGCAATTTGATTGGCTTAGAGCAGTGGTATTTCAGCTTAATTTGAAATACCTACATGTGAAAATTACAAATCTTCTAAGGGTAGTAGTATAAACAATTAATAGAATGATTTGTACGTGATATTTGGCATAAATACCACTCGTGATATTTCAAAATTGCCTCAAATTTACGTATAACAATTTTGAAATATCACTCGTGGTATTTATGCCAAATATCACTACGAATCATGCCATTACCTATACTAATTTACTGCCGTTTAACAGTAGATTAATTTGAGATCTATTTCAGAGGGTATATTGTTGCCATTCATTTTGCTAATCTATTTGTCATGTGTTTCTTCTGACATTTTCCAAAATTTCAAAACATGTCACAGTAATTTGTGATTCAAGATGGCGGATATTTTATGGACGTTATAACGTCCGTCATTCTTCATCAGCTGTACAAGTTTATAATAGTCCAATGAACACTACTTACACCAAATGACATTGTCTTATGTGTATGCGTGTGTGTTTCTAGCTCAGAAAATTCACATTTCGGAAAATGCTAAGGAAGCCTTGGACGAAATTGGAAGCTACCATATCGTTTTCAGGGACAGTATGGCAGTAAAAGTAAGTATTTGTTTAAATGCAAACAACAATTCAAATCAGGGAAAATTCACCTTCACCTGACAAAGTTAAGAGAGTTAAAAATAATGCTATAAAGTTAAAAGAACGCGAATACAGTTAATCACATTTTTTCCGTTGTTGTTGCTGTCATGGTTGTGTAACCGTTATAATCTCTGGTAGCCTGCGAAAACATCCGTTTCTCCTCGCTCTTCGCCGCTGGGGACGTTTCGCGAGGAGGAACGTCTGCGACTCAGCGGCTGAAATTCCATACTGATGACGCAATCCAATGTTTACATAATAAATCCAGTAGTCATGGGGTTCCAAATACAAATTTGTCCAATTTTACGTGTCTTCTGGTCGAATTTGGTAAAGTGTTGTGTTCATCTGCCAACGAGCTCCAGCAAAACTCAAATGCGTCTTCTAGAGAAGTCTATATTTCCACAAACATTGACTGTTTTGTTAGAGATTTTTCGCGTTTTCATTTCACCTTTGTGGCCTTTTGTCTTTTGTCTGTCATTCGTAAACAATAGCTAAAACAATGTAACTACTCCGTCCACCAATCAATAGGGACTTTAAGATTCAACGACGCGACGGCAACGAGAAAGTCGACAAAAACAATAGGTTTAATTAAGCAAAACAACAACTTTGCACGTGCATCACACTTTTTTGTAGATTTCTTTCCCGTTTTTGCACGACTACGACGTCAAAATGCCTAATTTCGCGTTGTATGGAGGACGTAAACAAGCAACGACGAAAAATTATTTCTCTTTCTGAGCTTGGATATAATCCCTTGAAATTCAGCTTCAGGAGGGTTCGCCTACATTTGACAAAGTAAGTGGTTAGGAATAATCGCTATAAAGACTGAAAGAACACAAATTCACTTTTTAATCGTCGTTCTCGTTGCCGTCGCGTCGTTGGATCTTAAAGTCCCTAATTTCATGATTGGAAAGGGGCAGCACCACGCATGGGACCTATAAATCTCGCTCACGCCCAACCCTCTTCATGCAAGTCTGTGTCTGGTAAAGCTGGTGAAACTGACAAGCCTGTGAAAAACTAATTGATATAATGAAAACTGAATATTGACATATTCTCTTTTCATACGCAGGGAAAAGGTCTCATGTCAACGTACTGGCTCAAGGGATTCTTGGAAAATGGTCCGTGCCATACTCTGTACGCCCCAGAAGATATGCAAATGACAGCTTTTGTGCAGCTGTGAAACCTTTGTCCGTGCCTTACTCTGTACGCCCCGGAAGATATGCAAATGACAGCTTTTGTGCAGCTGTGAAACCTTTCAGCTGAAATCTAACAGATTTCAGTTTATGACTATGATACATTTTGTAGATGTGGAATTAGATAAAAATGGCTAGCATTTCCTTATATGCAAGTTAGCTTTATCCGGAACTGTCAGTGAAAATCAGTGCTTAGCCTAAAGGGTTACTTTACTTTTAATTTAGTGTGAGCGATGTCAGAAATTCTAACGTATTCCAAACTGCAATAAAGGAAGCTTCCCATTTATTGCACTAAGGATGGACAGTTCAGTTACAGCAGAGGTTTGATTATTCAATTTTATTTTTGCAGGGAGAAAGTTAACCCGCCACTTATCTTGACATTACACTAAGTCAAGCCTAAAAGCGAAGCTCCCGTTAATCCTTACAATCAAACTATTTACTATAAAGAATTAACCTAACGCTACGGACACAACAACTCCCAACATTGTTGGCCCAACAATGTTGGAAGTTGCAACAGGGTGTGCAAACGGATTCAACATCTAGCATCCATCAATGTTGGAGTTGCTGGCCAACAATGTTTCGTCTCTTAGGGCTTTCGTCTCATAGGGCTTAAAACCATGGCAAAGAAATGCACAAATCTACTCCTTTCCATATTGTTAAAAACGCGGTTTACACCATATACACCATTCTTTGGCGCGCTTTTCAATCTGAATTGACACGACAGGGAGAACGTCAGAAAGCAATAGTTTTAGATTCAGCAAAACGACAACTTTGCACCCGCAGTACACTTCTTGGCACATTTCTTTAGCATTACTGCATGACCACGATGCAATAGCCCACGTTCGATGTATTAGTATAGGCACAGGAGGCCCACACAATAGGTTTGTGTAACCGATTGTTATTTTATAGTAAATGTACTGGATTTACCGTTTGCTTCACCTATAGCGATATATCGCTAACTATGTATATAAATCAATGATAAATAAACGTTGAATTACCTTGCCTGTGGTGTATGGTCGTCCTTTTGCCTCAAAAGCGGTTTTTTGAGCGATTTTTGAATGAATTTGAGTTCGCCGTTGACTGTTCCATATAATATAGCAATCGGCTACCCAAACAGATTGTGTGGGCCCCCTGTGGAGCGAGCAAAACGCTAGCGCGCGTGAAAATCACCCCACGCGACAAAAGGCGACACCCCACCGCGTCTCGCCTTTCTCGCGTGGGGTGATTTGCACGAGCGCTCGCGTTTCGCTCGCTCTACTATCCCTGAGGAAAAATTGGGGACTACTCGTAGTCTACCTCGGAGTCATGTAAGAATTTTTATATATCGAAAGTGGGCTATTGTTTAATTTCACAGTTTATCGAGAACGTAGACAAACTGGCGGCGAACTTTGGTTAGGAATTTAACTCCAGTACGGTGAGCATTCGGAAGTCAGCCAAGCGCGGTCATTGCACGCGTGCTGAACAAGAATGCTGTATAATAACAGACTAGAAACAATAGACAACTCTCAAAGCACAAACTCAGCCAAAACGCTAAAAGTCTTCAATGTGTACTCAAGTTTGGGCTTATAGAAGATAATGTCACAGTTTTTCAATGACCATGAAATTCAGAGTCCGGGTAGTTAGTTAATCAATTGTGGCTCTGAAAAAATTTGAAGGAAAAAAAACTACGAATTTTTAAGAAAATGCTTTTTTCGTGACAAAGACTCTTAAACGCTGACAAACGTCAACAAATAGCGAAAACTATAATTTCTATATGTTTGCTTTGCTCGAAATCGCGCGCATTTACAAGGCCCTAAAGCGTTTTGCTGACTTGCAAGGACCCATCTGTTATAACGATGCCCAAAATAAAGAGATGAATCTCATAGTTTATTAGATATAATCCGTGTAAAGTTTGCTTATCATTTTCGCATAAATTATGACCTAAATTTGGAAACCGCTGAATTTCTCGAATTGGGTCTTTTCGATTTTTGAAACTCTGTTCAGCGCAAGGCACTAATGCGCGCTATGTGTAGCCGAGAGATTTTCATGAAAAAATGCATGCAACAGCAGATTTTCGACTCAGACCTCAAAGGGGCTTGACATTATAACCACGTGATATTTACTCCGATCGCCAAATGTTTTATGTTATATTGTAGATTGATCTATATGTTATCCATTCTATGTGTTAGACTTACGATACAAGTAAAGGTGGGGATACCAGAGAGCTTCAAAGTAGGATGGTACCCCCCAAAAAAACTGGGTCGAGTCACCTTAATGAATGAGGCTGAGTAGGATATGAAGAATTAGGCAGATCGAGGAGGGTGTTATCCACCGAGGCCGATTACACCCTCCTAGATCTGCCTAATTCTTCATATCCTACGAAAGCCGAATTCATTCAATTGCTTTATTATTCATTCATTCAAAATAATTCCTAGTTTAAAAACAAGCTAAAACATGCTTACCGTCGTCGATGTCAACTTCACCTCAATAATGGCTGTTTAGAAGATAAAGGGCTGTTCAGGTCTGCAAATATACTCCAAATAGCAGATTTTATCCATCGAGTTGTCTTCTTGCTACGCCTTTAGACAGTAAATCGTCGTGAAACGAGTAAAATGTTCCGCAAAATGTTCCGCCATTTCCGTTTTCACAACCAAAACAACTCAACCTCGTCCCCTGGTTAACAGTGCCTTAACCTGCAAGAACGCTGCACTTTTGACTTCATCAGTTCATTAAACGCAAAATTCTTCCAAATTTGGTCATCAGTAGCTGGTTATGGTGAATTATGTGTTTGCTTTTAGCCAATCAGAATCGGAGAAATATTTTGAGTGAATAATAATTGTTTTTAACCTCCCGCATCCTTTTACCGTAATGCTAATAAATATCGACCACGGAATTTCTTGTAATATATCTAGGTAAGGCTTCGCATCAAAACGGCCCTATGGGACTTAATCAATTTTTGTCCAAAAAAGAAAGAAAAAAAGAAGAGATTCTTATTTTTAAGAGTCTGTTTCACTCATCTGTTTTATAAATATTTAATCAATCTCTTCTAGTTTTGTCAGGTGTTCGTTATGAAAATACAAGTATTGTATCCCGAGTTTTCAGTATAATTCAAATATGCTGACTGAGTACAACAGTGAAAATGAAGGAAATCAAGTGGAGAGAAAAGAAAGAGAAAACGAGTTCAGAGGCCAGAGAACCAATTGTCAACCTCAATTGTACAAAGCCGTTGATGG